TTTCCTAACAGATAATGTTCCAATTCATTTCGAATGACCGCTGCTTTTGTTGTTACTTGGCCAAAAGTTCCTTCTATTGTAACGTTTGCTAAGGGTAAACAAATTGGGGCCTCATCAAACGGGTGTTTTACCCAAACAGTCTCGCCCGTCAGCATCGAAGGAGTGAGATATTTCTTGCAAATTACGTCAATGCATGACCCGGTATCTCTCAAAACTGGAAGATCAAAACCGTTCACTTTAGCCATCGTTAGATACGGGGCTAAACAATCTTCTTCAATCTCCTGGACTCTATTTACAATAAACGGAGTTTTGAGATCCTTTTTAATTTCCGGACATTGAGGCCTTAAGTGTTGGGTTGAACCACAAGAATAACACTTAATTGGTCTTCTCATATCAAATTGACGCTCATCCTGATTCCGGAGATGTTCCTTTCTGTCAGAGGCATATCTATCTTCCCCTCCAGACTGGTGATACTTTTTCGGATCCCTCTAATTTAAATTATTTGTATTTCTCCTTTGTGACTCCGAACTATGAACAGGAGAGATCTTCTTCCGGGGTCCACGCACATTTTCATATTCTTCTAGCATTTCCGCTAATTCCTCTGGAGTCGTTATCTTCGACCATTCGTCAATAAAATGTTGCCGCACTTCGGCATTTACACGACGCTTCATTTGGTCCGTTATCATGAGATCCTTTAAAAGTTCAAAATCCGTAACTTCCAAACCTGCAATCCATTCTTCAAAATAATTCCTTAATTCAAAGGCAAAATCTCTCCAAGTGGTTTGGGGGTGTTTCTGAGATTGCACGAATTTGATGCGAAATTTTTCTGGACTAAGTTTGAACCTTTTAAGCAGTATCCCTTTTATATAAGCGTAATCATAAGCCTGCTGTTCTGGTTCTCGCATAATCAGCTGAACTATGTCAGTTGGCAAAATTGTCAATAAAACCGAAACCCATTCTGATTGGTGAAGATTCGCACGCTTTGCTTGGCGCTCAAACATGACTAGATACAAACTGATATCGTTCTCTTCAGGATCAAATTTTGGCATCATTTTTTTAGATCGTATCGGCTTTTTTTAGTCCATTTTCTTCATTCCCACCATTTCAGAGTCATTTCCGTTAGCGGCTAGTAAACGTAACTTGGATAATTCAAATTCATTTATTCTCTTTATAATCGTATCATCTTTTTTAGTTTTTTTAGTCTAATTTACATTGCGTTCTTGACGCTTTTCTAGGCAGTCACCTTAAAGATAGATTTAACCGAGCTCTCTAAAATAACTACTCACCGCGTTTTACAAATACCGCAGCTAATTCAGCAGACTTGAAGCTCACTTTGCAACACTTCCCGCCAAGCACATAAGTTCTTCAATTCTCGTTACCTCCGCGCTCGCGTAACTCTCTCACCGAACTCGTTTCCTTCTATTTAATTCATAACTTCCGCTGATAATTTAATGCTTGCGCGTTCTACTCAAATTTACATATCTGGCATTGGCATTCAGGGGAAAGTAAGGCTTCAGGAAAGATAGTTTCTTAAAATAAATGTTAGTTAAAATAAATATAAACCCTACATCTTCTAATTCTATCCTGCCTTTCTTCTTCTTCTCTCCTAATTCTTCTTTGCCTTTCTTTTTCTTCTCTCCTAATTCTTTCTTGCCTCTCTTCTTCTTCCTTCCTAATTCTCTCCTGCTCCTTTTTTTCTCTCTCAAGCCTCGTTGAAGTGATATTTTCTAACAGGCCTTTCACTAGTTCCTCCTCATAGGATTCATTTCCCATAATCAGCTGTCTTAAATCCAATATCCTAAGTTCAGGGCTAACTTTTTCCCCTAACTCTTCAGCCAAGGATTTAAGATCCTCTTTCCTAACTTTTGCTAAGAATGCCATGATATAACCAAAATTATGATCCTAACAATTTTAGCTCCCTCACACTACAGATACATACAATTGATTTAAACAGATATCATTTTCACAAGAGAGAGTAAAAATTAAACTTTTATAATTTTTTTTCACAACCTATTTTACAGATGTTAGACAAAAACAAGACAGTTTACACTATAATATGCACATTATGCATTCAAAAATAAAAACAAAAATTGTCTACTTGAGGACGTATGAAACTACAAATAATATTATCCTCTGAAAAGCTTTAAATTCAGTTGCGTAAAACACACTTGCTTATGATAATACAATATACTTTCCTCAAAATTTGGGATATGTTAAAAATATGCATTCAGAAATACAATAAATTACACAATACCTATCCATATGCTAGTAATTAACATTAATATGACAACAGTTAAAAGGAAAGATACTGGGGGTTTTATCATTCCCCTTTTACTCCTTCAATAGAAAAAAAAATTCTCAGTTCTTACACAAATAAAAGTTTGACACACCTTAACTGAAATTCTAATATTTATAACATTCAAAACGTCTTAGAAATGATATGTCAGAATGCCACCTAACATTAAAACCTTCAAGTTACAGTAATTCTACTCCTTTACACAATCCAAATATATAAGTTTAATTTAAGCACAACACATTAACATTTCAGATATTAAAAAAAAAATCTATTAACACAGGTTTAAATTCTAAATTTTATACTTTCTTATTGTAACATAAAACCCAAAAAACACATTTATTTAAGCTTTACAGGAACAAGTTGACTTAAAACAGTTATGTGAACTACTGATTTACAGAAATAAATTAAATTACTTTACTGCCTCAATATAAAAATCCAACACTCTAAATTCGAAAGAGTCCTATCCGACTCTAAAGGAGTGATATCCCACCTCCCTCTAATGCCAAAATGGCACCAACCTCGAAGGAACGATATTTCACTCTAGTAAAAAGCGGTCCCTTTTCACACAAAAACAGGAGTAACTCTTCCTTCGTTCGCTCTTCTTCGATAGTCAGATATCGCCCGATATTCGGGTGAAACCACACACATTACAAGGAGTTATAATAATAGTCTGCTCACTCCTTGATGGTGCGATTTTTATATAATTATTTTATAGGCAAGCTAAAAATTGGTATTTGCTATATAAACTTTATAGCTGATGTATTATTTTAGATATCTGGTTAATATTATCTCTTGAAAAAAATATTTTACACTACTTTTTAATATTCTATTGTGATTTTAATTATCTGATATATAAATCTGTTTCAGATTTGCTACCTATGTACTTACTTAAACATTTATTGGTGATGAGATTTCTTTCCAGATCTAACGAAATATACAGATATTGGAAATTCGGTGTAGTTAACATTCTGAAATACTTAACACTATCACTTTCTCACAGAATATATTTTATTTTACAGAAACATGGCTTTTACCTTTATGTGTAGTAAGCAATAAAAATAAGAACGTCAATGCAACTTATATATAAAAACTTGATTATGAATCAAAGTAGACCATCACTGGAATAAAAAAAACACAGTTTACAGACAATCATATCTTCATTGTTTAGACACAAATTTTCTTTCCAAATCTAACGAAATATACATATAAAAAAATTACATCCATATTAAAATATTGGAAATTCGGTGTAGTTAACATTCTGAAATACTTAACACTATCACTTTCTCACAGTACTTCTGATGTGAAATTACTTTGCACTCACAGAATATATTTTATTTTACAGAAACATGGCTTTTACCTTTATGTGTAGTAAGCAATAAAAATAAGAACGTCAATGCAACTTATATATAAAAAGTGGAATAGCAAGATATTCGCAATGAAGAACTTAGTTTTTGAATAAAAAATAAGGTTTTTCAGGTACTTAAAACTTTGAATAAATATTTCAGATATTTTCAAAATTTGATTTGAGAAATCAAAAAATGCTTAGTTTCATAAAAGAAATTTAAAAAAAATCATTTTAGATGAATCATATATATATAGTGATATACATTCTAAATTTTGTATACATATTTTAATTTAAAAAAGCAAATTATGCTTATTCACAAGATTTGGGCACGTAATCATGTAAATTGTAAGCTAAATTTTCCATTAAATAATCATACTAGTTGGAAAAGTAATTTATTAAAAATAGTTCTTGACAAATTTTATAATGAAAATTTGAATGTGTTAGAACAGCTGATCATATATATATGTGTCAGTAAACCTGTATCATAATCTGATAGATTTAACTTCTTAAAATGCTACTTAAGTGAATATATTAATACAATTTGTGAATTGATGTTACTAGTAGTTTGTTTACTTGAGCATAATATGCATAAAAAATCGAATAATAAATTTTAATATACATGAAGTAAGAAACAAATGCGAATTTAATTTCCCTTACATGAAAACTATTCAGCTTTTTTTCAATAAATGAGATTCAGAAATAAGTAACTATAAAATACTCTCATGCTATTGTTTTTTTAGCTTCATATATTGCACAAAAACATTGCAAAAGAATGTTTCTATTTCTTATTTACATAATTATGAAGAGCTTAAAATTAATATTACCCCAAATTATTATAATAAAGTCTAAAATCTTCAGTTAGCTTGTTACGCTTTCTATTTTTGAGAAGTTATATGCATACAAATTTCTATACATTAATCATTACAGATGAATAATGCTTACATATACTTTTAGACTATAACTTATTTTTATATATGCTAATTCCAAGTCTCATTTGGGAAAAATAAAGTAAATTTTAAAGTGAAATAATATGGATTATAGCTCACATGTGTAAGCTAAAAATTCATTTTTCATAATTCTGCTCAAAATTATTATGTATTTCATTTATTGATTAAATCCGAATAGGAATCATTACCATAACTGCAGAATTATAACAATTTCAATGAACGAAGTATTTTAAATATAAGTGAAAACAAGCAAATGCATGGAAAAACTCTTTATTAGGAAATTTATGTACATATATATACAAATATAAAAATGGAAAATATGACAATAAAATGACATTAAAAATATGAAATGTAATGGATGTACAGAATGCAATAAATTCATACTAAAACGTGTATTTAAAGAGTCCACACAAGCTGTAGGAGTGCTGACATTATACAAAAGGCTTGCCACAAAATTATAAAAATTTGTTGATGTATGTGCATATTGAACGCTAAATACAAAATTAGTTTTAAATAGAATGTCAAATGCCTTCATGGCATGATTTGGGCATGCTATTAAGTGATTTACTGCTTTAATATAGAATGAACTTGTAATACACACTATCATGGGCTGTTTATTCTGAGCTGGTCCAAGAGATTCCACGTCTTCTATTCCCTGAAAATAAATTTCTTTATTAAGAATACATCCATTACCTATCTATTAGGACAAGTCAAATACCAATGAGCCATACTAGAAAGTTTATCTTTCCAATTAAAATATATCGCCAGAAAATTTTTTCTTCTTTCAAAAATAAGTAATTCCATTCACATACAGGTCTTTTGCTTTTAGTTCTGTAAAAAATGCAGTATAAATACTATAGGAATATGTAAATATTATATTGATGCAAATATAGAATAGGATAGTAATGCTACTGCTATTGTGCGTGCTTCTTAATGAAAAAGTATAAATAATGTACTAAAATGTAAAAAGAACAAAACTATATGGAGAATAGTCTGGTCTTTTCCTTATGAAAAACAAGTATTATCCCTCATAATAAACTATTGTTGTTCATAATAAACTATTGTTATTGCAAAGATGTTTGTCTTGATTTCATGATCGCTATAGTCTGGCTGGAAGTGTATCTTTTGAATTTCACCTTGAAGCAATTTTTACATCACTTTACAAGTTTAAAAAAAAAAAAAAAAAATCTATGTTCACTGTATATACATGCATATATATGATTAGTGTCATGCTTTAGATTAGATCATATAAAGGCATCACACATATTACAACCATCTATTCTCTCGAAATATTTGCTAGTATGTAGGTGACATTCAAATCAATGCAATTCCAATTCTACAGAAAATTAGCTAAATGACCATGCATCATCTGTGGGTACAATAGTCGAAAGCAGCCTGAGAAGATGAATTTTAGCCACATGAGGCCAAATACATTCACTGTTGTAAAATGGCTATTTTAATATAATCTGCTCTCTTAAAATGAAAGTTAGTGCAAAGCATATCAAAATTCCTCAATACTTACATTTAGCAAATATTAGAAGTGCAGAATTTGGATTTTGTTTTTTTTTTTTTAAAAAACGGCCTGATGCTAAAATACTTGCTTTGCCTTTACCCTACAAAAATAAAAATAAAAGTATATATAAAAGACATATACTGGATAAAAATTGCATGTGAAATGTAATAATTAATTGAAACAATATAAATATCACACATGAACCTTTCAAGATAGAATATGTAGCAGATTTCAAAGGATATGCAGCTCAACTCGCTTACATATAGTATCAATAGCTTATTTACATATACATACACTGCAAACTAAAAATATTATCCTATGAAAAGAATTTTATAGCTAAGCATATGAAATTATTTTTATGCATAGACTTATGCCAAAATTTACTCATTAAAATGAATGAATAAAACCTTTTTCCCTCTTTCTTTCAAATAATTTTAGCTGAGCAAAAGTTCTGTGAGCAAAACTAATGCTTTTAGGTCATCTATACATAATATATATATATATATATATAAATACACATGTTATTACATAATGATTACAAAAATATCATTAAAAGGCCTTTGGCACTAGAGGCACATGCATTTACAGCTTACCTTTACGAGCCAGAAGAAAAGAACTATAAGCCATTTAAGAATAAAGACCAATGTGAGTAATAGATGCAAAATTACTTTACTCTAGGTAATTGAAACAGTAAACAAAGGAAAGTTTTAAAGTATATGATATCATTTATAATCATAGTTAAAATTTTTAAAGATCTTTACCACTGAAATCATCAATACTTGGTACCAGAAGATCAGGGAGGGCGTTTTGTTTCCACATATTCTCAGAATTCTTGGGACATAAAAAGATGAATGAAACAAAACTTTTTTTTAAATGTCTATCATTAGAAATTGTTTCAGTTTCGATACAATTTCTTACATGGCTATTAGACAAAACCAATTGTTTTTATGACTGAAACATACTGAAATGTTTCTTTTACAATTTTGGTTTCAAATTGACCTGTTTTTGTATTCAGAGCTTGATCCAATCTACTGTCAAGCATAATTTCGACAGGTTCGATAAAATTATGACAGATTTTCAAAGCCTTTATTTGTCCTTTAGTTGCTGACAGGCCATCAAAAATCTGCCTAATGGGAAGGATGCCTCCGTGGAGGTCTTTGTAAGGCAAACTGGTTCGTATACACGTTACACATGGAGAAAACCACAAAAATGTCCATGCAGCCAGCTCCTTCATGCGATTCAAACTCTGGACCGAACTACCAGTGCTCAGCGACTTTGCCGCTGGTGGGTAATATTTAGGCGGATGTGCATTAATGTTCGAGAGAAAGAAAAGCATGATATTAAGCATTTGTAAGTAAACAGCCTGTTAAACATGGTATTTAGGGCATAAAATTAAAATGAGCGCAGGGGCGTAGCTAGAGGGGGCAAGGGGCATCTGTCCCCGGGCGCAGAATCCAAGGGGCGCCAAACTGATGTTACGGCATTTTAGAATTAAATGTTTTCCATCCTTGGCAAGCAGTAGGGGGTGCGAAATCTTCAGCTGTCCTTGGGCGCTGAAAACCCTAGCTACGACTCTGAATGAGCAGCAAGAAATATAATATTAAGCATACGTAAGTAAAATTTACATAAAGTAAATATTAGTTACTGAAATCAATTTGGCCTTCTCCCATTTTCTCAAAATTGTCCCAAAAACTGTTCCGTTAAGAAAATTTTCGGCAACATATTATCTTAAGGAAACATTCTTTAAATGCAATTTAATATTTCTTTGACTGTATCTCAACCATTATGCTTAATTTCATGCCGAGACAAGTACTCGAGTATGCAGTTTTGTAAATTTTCTTTGCAAACACTTTAAAATCACTTTTAGGAAACATAGCACGGAAATCAGACAAAATAATAATAAATTGAGAAAAAATGACACATGCAAATAAATTTTGAACAGCAGCGAAAGAAAGCGAGGAGGCCGCAAGAGAATTCTACTAGCTTTGTGCTTTTGCAGCGTTTACATTTACTGGATTCTTTGCGGTAGTAGTGTTTTCGAAGGCAGGTGGAAGGATGGTAACTTTGAACTTCTGCAGTTCATAAAATTTCAGAATGCAGTTCCAAATACTGATATACATCTGTAAATTTTTTCATGACTGTTGCGAGAAGAATTTTGCAAAGTACAAATGGATTAAAAAACACCTAAGACTGAGAGAAATTGTACCATACTGTCTACAAATCAGCTGATAGAGTAGTAAATCAAACTTTTAGAATACTATCAATGATTTTGTGTATAGGAAAACAAAAAAAATAGTACTTTTACGGTATTAGAATTAATGTTTTATTTCAAAATAAACCCAGATATTTATTTTTATATATATCATTTTGACATTTTATAGACTTTTTATTGTGCACTGAGCGAGGGCAGCAAGAACTCTGGCTACACTCTAACAGTGTTCGCATAACTTAGTTATTGAAAATGTAAACAAGTTGTGTTACCCGGGTCTTTTAATCCTATCTAAACCAGAAAATGAATTCATATGAGTTTATTAAGATCAGGTTACTTCCATTTCTTTCCTACTTTAAAGGACTGTTGATAAGAAAAAGGTTTACAAGACTTGTTTGATACAACAATAGCTTCTTGCTAATGTAAGCAGTTATATTATTTTCTACATTACTTCATCAGATCCTCTCACTCATTTTAATATCACTAGGACAAGATATAATGTCCAATTGAAATAAAAAGGCAATAATCTTGAAAAGTAATCAGTAAATGTCATTAGTTTAACTTTGTGACTATTGAAGTTGATGTATATGAATTAATCTATGAATCATTTTAGAATATCATCATGTTTAAATTAGTAGACATTTCGGACAATTTTGAAAGTATGCCTGACAAGTTTTCTTAGGTGGGGGGAAAATAAATAAATAAAAATAACCCTGTCGAATTAGGATTTTTCTCCCGCAGTAGAAGGGAAGAGGAAGCTGTTTTTTCAATTGTGCATTTTATTATTCTGTTAATAAAAAAGTTCATTTTTTTTAATATGATTAGGCGACTGCCACAAGTATAAGGCAATATTGCTTAATTTTCATATTATAAAATAAAAATGCATCAAACATTTAGGTTTAGGCTTACATATAAAAAAGTCGTTTTGTTTCAGTTGAAATAAAAATGTTTAGACATGTACGAATTTTACTATTAATTAAGTCTGAAAAAAACATGCCTTACATTTTTTAAAAATAAATACTGTTTTTTTAATTTTCTTATTTGCATTAAAAGAAATAAACATTTGGTGTACATATTATATGTTGGCATATACGTATATTTGTCAGTAAATACATATTTAGCATAAAAAAATAGATGTATATAGCATATAAAGTCAACTGAATATCTGACATTTTCAAAAATCCGGACTAGGTATAGTTTTTAATTTAAAACAGAGTAGAAAATAAAATTACCTTTTAGGACATTAACAGCATCTTCGGGAACTTCTTGCAGTTATAAAAATCTGATAATTTTGAACTATCATGTAATGCCTCCTGAAAAAAAAAGTATTTTATTGTGCTACAGTTTAAAAGAAAGACAAGGGGCAGATAAATTTGACAATTTGCTGTGGCACAAGTATTAGAATATAGAACCTATGTAGAATGGACAAGGTACTAAAATTTTATGCTTGGTCTTTGATTGAAAATGAATTCTCATTAAATAGTTATCTGCATAAATTACCTGGAATATTTAATAATACAATAGTTTTCAGTTTGTCATCAGAAAATCAAAACTTATTATTTTTTTAAAATAGCTGGGTTTTTTTTGTTTTTTTTTTAGTCCAAAGGGGCAATTCTCCCAGAAGGACTGTTAATTTCGTTTTGGCATTTTGCACCGATTCCCGATATGTTTCATTTCAAATTGCTGCCACCAAACATTGAATTTGGTTTTATTATTTGCTTTATTATTTAATATTTTGTAATACTTCAACGAATTTTTGATTAACAAAGTAAACGATTTCAAAGCGAGCAATGGCAAGACTGTACGATTAAAAAAAATATATATATATATATATATATATATAATTTATTTCCTAAACAGTATTGATTAATTGATATATTATCTCCTAAGTTAATTAAAGTAGAATTATTTAAAAGTGTGCATCCATACTGGTAAGTTATATTTTGAAAGATGTTTTGAAGTAATTTGAAAGCAAAATGTTAATAATGTTTTAACGGGGACTGGAGAGTTAAATTATCACGAAGAATAATATTACAATTGTAAAAGTAAAAATTAAAACATGTAATTATTGTCATTGATCGGAAATTAGTTGACTTTTCAAGGGGAACAAACCAACTCCCGTTCAATGATCATAATTGATAAAAATACGTAAATATGAAAGTGTTTCGTCTTTACTCGAGTTATAAGTTAAAGCCAAACCGGCAATTCTAGTCAGGCCAATATTTCCGCGAATAGTTGTTACTCAAAGAACTTATTCTCATGAAGCATTTTAGTCAATTCAATTTGGAGTAAAAGTCAATTACTGTAGAGAAATCCTGTAAAACTCGAGAGTAACCGTCCCCGACACTATCATCTTTATGTATTTGAGTACTATATTATTTGTAGAAATTAAACATTGGAAATTGTCATTATGAAATCGAAATCAAAGTAAAGTTGAAATAAACATAGAAGATTATAAAAAAGATAAATAATGCAAACTTTGTAAAAACAAATCAAAGAGAACATAAAATAATAAAAATAAAATAGAAAATAATATAAATAAGATCAGTGAATGTACATGAAGATATATAAAGGCCAGAAAGGTATTAAGTAACTTACATTCTTTCTAGGGGGGAGTTGGCAATGTGTATATATATATATATATCTTGAGCTCGCGAGACTCTGTATTGGAAATTCTAAAGATATGTTCATTTTAAAATTGTTTTGTGATATTGCTGTTGAATGTTTTTATGGTTTAAGTGCGAAGAACATGATATTTAATAAATAAAGGTAACACACAAAATGTTAAAAAAACGCCCCTTTGGATATAATTTAAAATCTGAAGCTTTCAGTCTTTTTTAAAGAATGCAAGATTTTTTTTTAAATCGTAAACGGAAAGCCGTCTTAGCAGCTTATTGGCCTCCCGGACTTTGAATGTTCAAGAGGCCTTAGCTACACCTACACTCTCGAGAATAACAACATATTTGCAAAAATATAAGTTTTAGAGTGCTGATATGACCCAGGTAGTGCTAGTGTTTATATTTTGGAAAAATTCAGCTTTGCAACAGTAAGTGAATTTTATTGTCACAAACTATAAGCAGAATTTTATAAAAAATGAAAGTTAAAAATCTATATAAAAACTACTAGAAGCTGAAAACGATATGACTTCAATAGGAAATTCAGTAAAGTATACGGTTTTTATTTCTTCCAATACTACCAAATAATTTACACACTTGTGTTATAAAAAAAATCAAAACTTTAGTATGCATTTTTTTTTTTTTTCCCACCGCTGTTCTTCCTATTTGAAATAGGAATGCATGCAAAACTAAATTTAAATAATTAAATTCGATAGCTTTGTGTAAATTGTTCAAAAATAAAAATAATGTTAAGAATTATTTACAAAAAGTACCATCCATACGTACAGCTTTCATTGTGTTAGCAGTACGTAATAAATAAAAACTACGTTACAGCATTACACTCTTAAAGCAAATTTACAGACACCTAAAAAAAAGAGCAAACTAAAAAACTACTTTTTATTACATACTTCAATTTTGACACATAAATCTAACTATAATTTATTAATAATTAAGATATTTATATTAAGAAATAATTGTATATATATTTTAAAAGCGAACTTACTTTTGGCAAAGGAGCTGTATCCATTGTTACGACTGTCCTCGCTTGAAATGGCGCTTAGCCAAAGAACGTTCTTTGGCTTAGCAAACTTGTTTGGTCAGTCGGGGTGGACAATGGGAAGACAGGGGGTCGTCCTGCTCCTTCAATTCACTCCCTTTCCCAAGGTTATTATTGCAAGTGGAAAACATGTTCTGCTACCAAGACAGTAAATTTGCGTTGTTTGACACGAAACGGAGCGAAAACTGCTGTCACCCTCCAAATCCCACTCTGCGAGATTTAGAGTGAAGGTACTTACCCGTCTGGATTGGAGAGTCGCAATGCAAAACCGGATGCCGTCACAACTTCACTTTCTCACAATTTAAGATTTTATGGACACTGATGATCCAGGCACCTATATCGCCCACACACAAGATCTGATCATCTAAATTTTCTCGATCACAAGGGTGATCACCCACATATAACTTTTTCAATACTCTACACATCACAATGATGTGATGATCTTCGGACAATGATTGTCCCACATGCGCACTGCGGTAAATTTTCTCGAACACAAAAGATGATCGCACAAGTAGCACCTTTATCACCGCGCTTAAAGATGAGCTTATTTCAGGAGACTGTCGTTCCTCTTTTTCTGGACTGATGTCCGTAACTTCTTCGTGGGTTCTATTCCCCACTTCGAAGAGCTGTAAATCACTTTCGAACGGATGTTCGTAAATTCGTGCTGCACTCAGAGCCTGGCGGTCTGTACTATCTGCAAACACTGATGATGTTCGGACAATGGCTGTCCTACAAACTCGAGATGAATTTCAGACTCGGACGGTCTGCAATCTCTGCATGAATTTTCTTATCTTACCGCTTCGGAGAGCTGTAATCACTTTTTCGAACTGATTTTCGTAACTTTTCGTGTTGCACTTCAGAACCTGACTGTCTGTAATATTTGCAAAACACTGTTGATATCCGGACAATGACTGTCCCACAATCTTGAGATGAACTTTTAGAGCCTGGCGGTCTGTAATTTCTGCATGGATTTTCTCATCTCACCGCTTCGGAGAGCTGTAATCACTTTTTCGAACTGATGTTCGTAACTTTTCGTGTTGCACTTCAGAACCTGACGGTCTGTAATATCTGCAAAACACTGTTGATATCCGGACAATGACTGTGCCTCAATCTTGAGATGAATTTTTAGAGCCTGACGGTCTGTAATTTCTGCATGGATTTTCTCATCTGAACCGCTGCCACCATTTATTATAACACCCTGATCGTCACTGAGCTGCATGACCTTCTTCACTTTCACTTTGGAGGGATACTAAATTAATGACATCATAGACTTGGGGCCATACTTTAAGCTTATCATCAGCGCGATGCAGTCATTGAGATTTTTTACTCTGTACTTCTCGCATCCATTCGTCGATAGTCCAATCATGTTATTCTGTGGTCCATGCAAGAAGTTTTCTGACGCACATGTAGCGAAGAGAATGTTGCAGTGTGTGTCCGACTGGGCACACACTGCAACACCTGAACGAAGATTTGGTGTCGCTAGCTACGTACGATACGGTTGAGCCATTCACCATACGATCATTCAAGGCGACTTGTCCCTTTTTTTCTCCACATCCATAAATCCTAGACATTCTGTGTGAAACTAGAAAGCTCTCATTTTCGACGTATTTCCGAAACTGAATGATTCATTCATCGAATAGCTGTTATTTTTCTCGATCCTAAATCGCAAGTTTTACTCATATTGTTGCTTTTAATAATTGCTTAGAAACGCATTTCTCATTTAGTAAATATTATGCATGTGTATGGCTGAGATGAACCTTGTTCTTACTGATAGATAATCTCGTAAAGACAGGCAGCTCTAAAATCATAGCAAGTATCATTATCATTATAAGGGCAGAGCCCCAATCCTCCCAGCCAGCACAAGCCGGCCGTATGATAAAAAACGGGACTGGCCAGAAAAAACTAATATAAGAAAAAAAAAATTCTAAGGAGGAATCTACGGGCGGCCGAGCGGTAAAGTCGCGGAACATTGGTAGTTCGGTCCGAATCCCGGTTCAAATCCCGCGAACGGGCTAGCTGCATGGCCGTTTTTGTGGTTTTCCCCATGTGTAACGTGTTATGCGAACCAGTTTTCCTTATAAAGTCCTCCTCGAAGGTATCGCCTCCCCTTAGACAGATAGCTCGCGAAGCTTTGCCATAATCTCATAAAAACAAATCAGAACCATCTAAACCAATCAGAATAAAAGGCAAATACAAGGTTGTTATGCAATAATGTGTTAATCACTTTAGCACTTCATCGTGATGAAGATTTTATAATAAAAAAAGAAATCTTTAATGCAGACGTTTGAAGTGGAAAGTAATACAGTTCAAAGTTAAATCTATAAGATACTCACGTTATATATAATATTTTGTAATGAAAACTGATAATGATAATCTTGAATATTTTGAAGATTATTTATTTGTTAGACAATTTATCCGAAATTCCTTTTGTTCTGCTTAGCAAGTATTTGAAGTAATTAGAAATGCATTTAATGCATTGTTAATCATTTTCAAAAGAAAGTAATTTTATATGTTCAAACTTATTTATTATCTTTTACATAATTAAGTTTATATTTAATAATATGTAAGACATGAAAATTATTTTGTCCTTGCAATAATAACAGAAGGTTATTTTTATTGCGTCAACTTATGAAACATATTTTTCTTTTATAGAAAAGTTCTTTTAAATCTGTATAATTTTTGTTTCTTGTAAAAAAAAAATAATTTCATTTGATATTCTCAAAGGAAAATATTTCTATCATTAATATTTATATCTCCATATGTAGCGAAAATCTGAATTCTTAAAAAGTAATCTTTCGTTGGAATTAGTCTGCCTCTGCATTTCATTTTGGTAATAGTCAAGAAATCTTTCTTTTCTTTCTTTATTTTTTTTTTTTAAAGAAAAAGACGATTGGACTTTTTTCTACGAGTTAATGGAATGCTTGGAACATTTAAACGTTTGTTAGAAAAGTGATTTGAATATGAATTTGTAATAGAATTGTCACGAAACGCATAATTTCCTGTAGGTTTATCATTTTCCTCTAGCGATACAGAAATGCAATTTTCATATCTTGAGCGCTCGTTTGTATTTTCTTCTTACTTGTGGTGCATATAGAGAAAAGAGTCAGCGTTTACGCTCTGACGTTTAAATTTACACTGGTACTTTTTCTTAAGGAGACATGCTATATTTATTGATTTTTCTAGGGCAAACAAATGATATTAATATTTGTAGAAAATAAGACTGTGTATTTGATACCAAAAGAAGATAAAATTTAATAATCTTTTAGTATTTTACTTTTTCTGAATGACCGATCTTCTGTGCGAGTTAGGAGTGATAACTGTGATAATTAGCTGTCACCAGTAATAAGTTATGGAAGTAATATTTGATATAAAAATCTTCTTTCGATGGAAACATTTTAAAATCTATTGCGCTAAAAAAAAAAAAAGAAAACTTTTATTTACTTATTTTAACAACATCCCAAAACCATGAATCTCCAAAATTTCTGATCCCCAAAACGCGTTTAAAAGTCGATGAATTACTAAGTTTTTAAATGATTCTGAGCCCTTGTACATCTCTTTGGTTTTGTGTTCAGTGAGAGTGCTCTGCCGACGAAAAGACCGAATTCGATTCCTGTCTAAGCTATTGTCATCAGAGACTTCTAATTTTGTAAGATGGTGACATATTATATTCAGGGATTCGCAAGTTTCTCGAGTTGTTAGTAATGTTTACTTAGATTATTGACTATCCAGTGATTGGCAACCCTAACATGATTACTCAAGAAGCCTATCCATGTAGGTTATGCCTGGAAACTGTATAAACAATAACAACACTATAATAATAATTTCGTGTGATTGTGTCATGTGAAATATATTGGATGCACAAGTTTTCCGCGCTGCTGCTAATAAGAAACGAAACATATCATGTCCTTTTATTAATAGTCCAGTGATAGGCAAAAATATGCGCTAACATGATTATTCATGAAGTTTGGCCATATAGCTTGTGCCTGGAATCTGCGTTAACAACGGCAGCAGTATAAAAATAATTTTGAGAGATGGTGACCTGTAAAATCCGTGGATCTGCAAATTTCCTGAGCTCCTGGTAATAGGAAACGAAAGATATCAAGTTGTAGAGACATTAGGTATTTTTGAAGCAGGAATGATTAAAAATGAGCTAAGCCTTCGCCGGGAGTCGAACCGCGGACCTCTGGAATACGCGCTCAGCGTGCAGATCACCACACCACGATGGCATGCCAAGAAGGCTAGAGAAAAACCTTATATATCCCTCCTTTTAAAGGGCGACTATGGTTTTAGGGGACCCAGTCGCCAAATTATGGTTGTGAGTACCATCATCCAACACCCTTTTAGTTTGGGCGCCACTGTAGAGACATTAGGTATTTTTGGAAGCAGGTAAGATGAAAAATGAGCAACGCCTTCACCGGGAATCGAAGCCCAGCATGCAGACCACTACACTACGAAGGCACGCTAAGACAGCGGGAGAAATACCTTATTAAAGTCTTTGGAATATTGACTATCCAGTGGTAGACACAGATACTACTAATGAATCCCACGAAATTAATTTAAGCTCATACTACATAATTTTAACAGATATGTATGAAAGTTTCACCAACTAAATTGTTATATCTTATCACCTGTTTTAACCGGCGCTACCCGCTGCGTAATATGTTAATTTCTAGACGTTAGAAAAAAAAATATAATTATATGATTCTAATAATAATGCTCTAAAGCCCCTTAAAGGCTGCAATATTCACATGTGATCATAGTTTGAATAGTTTTAAACGAAATAAAGATATCCTTAGAATTATTTTTTTAACTTTTGTAACTGCATTTACTGTAACTTAATTTCCGAATGTTCATTTTGCCTTTTTAGAGTTTGTTCAAACCCTCTTGTAATACAACTGGGGAGGGGGAGGACTCTGAAACGAGGCTACACATGATTTTGTACAGCTGTACGGCAAAATCACGATTTGTATATCGCGTACATCGTGCTTCACGTCACCTAGCCCCCAAGGTAAATACAAAATAAAGGAATAACACTGCAATTATTTT